CGAGTTTCATCGGTACTGTGAGCTTCTGTAAAGCCTGCAGTTGAGTAACATTGGGAAAGATTGGCTCCACGACATCAAGATGGTGTAACGACACCAATGGTGTTATTGGATGTGATGCTAGTAGCCCGAATAAGTTCCCGTATACATCATACTGAATTTCAATTCACCAACAACAAATCATAGTCAGATATCAAACAGAGTCTTCTGTTCTCATTTTTGGCCAAATTCAATAAACCAACAAGTTCTATATTCACAAGCTATGTTGCTCGGACTCTTCAAAAAAAATGTGCATTGGATGATCAAACATAGGTGTGATAACATTTTTGGAGAGTCTGAACAATAAGCTCCCACATTGAAAACTTTGTGTGATAATCATAACACCGAAAAAAAAAGAGACAAAATCAACATAAAATACAAGGAAGCAAAGCAAACGAACCTGATGAAATCCGAGTTCTTTAGTAAGTGGAACCCCCAATTCTGCCATACAAGCCTGCATTCTATCATCAGAACCATAAAGTCCTGGATACCTTTGAATACACCTATCTTGCATTTTATCAATAGCTTTAGCTAAAGGATAACTTATAGCAAATCCACCACCACCATAAGCCATACTATAAGAAAAATATATATTCTGCAAATGACTTTCACTCAAACTACCAATGTAATAATACTGATTATGATCATATTTATTCAAAATTCTCAACAAATTCTCTGTTACGAATACAGTATCATCATCACCCATCACAAACCACCGTACATTCTCCTTCCCTAACCTCAATGTCTCCGATAAAATCCTCGAAATTCGAATAGCAGATCGATGCCCCTGCTTGTTATTGTAGGCAAAATGTGAAGTATCAGCTGAAATTCTTAATTCAGGTAGTGATTTACTTTCATTTTTCTCCGTTTTAACGGAATTATCTAACCAAACAACACCCCTCATTTTCTTCTCAGGCTTCCACCATAGCTTAATATATTCTTTCCTTTTGTTCCAAAGCTTAGATGAAGCTGCAATTCCAAATACTACATGCTCTAAATTAGTTTGTTCAACTTCTTTTTCTTGTAAAATTCGGGTCTGTTGATCAATAATTGAAGCATTTGAAGAGATTGTTGAGTTGGTTTTTGAATGAATTGGTAAAATAATATTGCTACTGGTGATGAAAATGTCGTTACAAGATGAAGAGGAAAGGTACTTTTGAGTGGTGAAAACATAAATGGTTAATACGAATAGTATTAACCATAACATGAATTTGGGCAAAGGAAATATCGAAAATGGCGTTATAGAAGAGATTCGCATTTGATGCCAGATGATTTTTTCTGAATCTCTTTCTTTCATGAACATTTTACTCACTTGCAAAAAAAAAAAAAAATGCAGAAAACCCAGAAGAAGAAGAAGAACAGAAGATGTAAGAGGAAAAGTTGTTACCAAATTACAAAATGCTATGGGTGTGAAGTGAAGTGAAGACTGTTAATAAGAAAGTATCCCAATAATGTCGGCAAGTTTTTCTACTCGAAATGATTTCATGCGACATTTCAGATATATTTGTTAGATCTGAACAAAGAGATAATATAGCTTGTAATTGCCACATTTGCAATAGAACAGAATTTATTAGCAGTGGTAGAGAAAATGAAGGTGGTTGGTTATGTTTCATTAATACAATGTTTTTGTAATTAGGAAAAAATGTAGTAAAATATTAGCTGTGCAAATTAATTTTTGTACTTATGTGTTACTAAATACATAAAAAAAAATGTATATTTTTTTTTTATGTTAAGATGATAAAATTCTGTCTTTATCTTTTTCACAGGAAAGAGTCACTGTTTATTTTTGTGGTTAGATACACAAAAGCTCGTTAGACAAGACACGTAGTTCTGTCATCTGTGTATTGGTTTGGTCCACTGCGTCGGTGATTTGGCTTTATTCATTATTTAACTATTTCTATATAGTATATACCAAAAGTTTCACCTAGTTAATATAGTAAAAAAATACCAATAATATTTATTTGCTCCTTTTTACTAAAAAATATATATTAAGTTAAGAAGTTAATAGAATTCAATACTTATGTATGTATATATAGAAAAATCTTTTTGATATAATTTGTTATATAATCAATACATTTTCTTATATGTAAACTTAGTTTTAAAATTTACACATGAACCGATGTTTTTTTTGGTTAATTGAAAGGAATTTTTAATTGAAATGGTGTGTATTGGGTGATAAATTCAATAACTAGATCTGTTATAAAAATAATTGTCTCATATCGAGTGTTTGGTATCCACATTGGAATCTGACTATTTTAGATTTGCACCACGTAAGATTTCATTTAGAAAAATGCTTCATATCAAGAATATGGGACTTGAACTCGAGACATCTGATGAAGGAAAGAGTAGCCTCATTCACTGCACATGTGATGTATAAGCATTTTTAGTATGTAACTTTGACGTCCAAATATAAAGGCATAATACATAAACATGTCCCTTAACTTGGTGTCAACGGGTAACTATGACTTTTAACTTTGGGTGTGCACAAGTAAGCACTTAAACTAGTATAAAATTGAACAAATAGACATATTCGTCCTACATGGCACCCTACATGAAAATTTTGTATCCTATGTGGAGTCCTACATGTATTATGCCATGTAGGACACGTCTGTCTACTTGTTCAATTTTATACAAGTTTAAATGTCTACTTGTGCACACTCAAAGTTGGATGGCATAATTGTCCGTTGAAGCCAAGTTAAGAGTCATGTTTATGTATTATGTCAAATATAAACGGTCCATAAAGGCCTGAAATTGTATAATCAATAATTATGTAATAACTTACGCTTTTTTTTCTAGAACAATGTTGTACACTTGTACTATTGCAACAAAAGATTTAAGATATCGTTGCAAAATTTCTTTTTAGGAAAAAATATATGCTGAAAATACATATTTCCTAATAATATACATGATTTCAAAAGGATTGGTATCATGAATATGTTTTGGCAGATTTATTTCTCAAATATTGTCGAATTGCTTCTTCTTTTTTTTCTTTTTAAAATATTTTTTTAGTTAATAAAATAATTATAAATTATTAACAATGTTATAAAAACAACATAGATAGAAAAAAAGAATATTTAGGGATACTCCTACAATTTCTCAGAGGACTAAATCCTTTCAATATTTTTGCTAATATTTAGTATACTCCTACAAATTCTCAGACGACTTAAATTTTTCAATATTTTTGCTAATATTTAGTATACTCCTACAAATTCTCAAAGGACTAAATCCTTTCAATTTTCTTAACAAATATTTAGGATACTCCTATAAATTCTCAACTTTGGAAAACGAGGGAAAGAAAATTTAGTTTAGGAGTAGTGATAACTGATAAACATGCATTAAATTATTTTATGAAGATATAAAAGGGTAAACTACAGTAAGATACGAAAATTGTTCAAGTGTGTTTTTGACACTTAACTAAAAAAAATGTGTCGGTAATATACAAAGTCATGTGAACGAAAATTTTGGGTCAAACCCGCATGAATGTGTGTATACATACATTTGGTCTAGTCAGCATAAAAGTATGTTTCTCAAATTATTTGAGTAATAATTTAGATGTATTTCTCACTCTCCCAATTGTTTAGATATGAAATTTTAAAAAATAATGTGTTTTGACACCTAATTCTTAATGATAAATTAGTATAAAGTGGTATAAAGAGAGCACTCTATGAGGTATATTATACGCATAATTACTATACATGACTTCAAATATCTCAATTTATAGGATAGATAATTTAACTTTATAAAGTTTATTTACTCTTAATCTCATAATCATACTAACATCTATAATTTATTTTATATCGTCAAGTTAATACTAACATTTATAATTTATTTTATATCGTCAAGTTAAACAACATCACATGACAAAAGAGCTAAACACATCATTTTCTTATCCTTCCTATCTCCTTTCCTAGGTTATTTGTCTTGTCACACTGCATAAAAAATTATTGCTATCGACAATTAATTAACGGTAATAGATCAATTGTAGCTAAATATGTATTTTTAGCGGCAATTAGCACTCTTTGCATATGTTCTTAAAGCCTTTAGCGACATTGAATCTAATGATACTTAACTAATGACAATAAAGACTTTAGCACTCTTTATTAATGTGTCTATTTATTGCCGTTAAAAGTTGTTTTTGTTGTAATGTCAGTGATATATATCAAGTAAATTTTTATTTTCCATAATTTTTTAACACATTATACAGTAATTTCTACTATGTGCAGCACTCTCAACATTGATATATTTAATTCTTCCAGCTTCATAATTTAATTAATCATTTGAAAAAAAATACATTACAAATTATTCTGCTGAATTTAGGGGAACTTAACATGATAAAAAATTGTCTGCTTGTCATTAGTCTACTTAGTATGATTTAAAGACTTTTAGTGTCCTTAATGTTGATTCGTTGTGCTTAATTATGATTTGTTAGACAGTAGGTTCCGTAGATTCAACTGAATCTCTTACTTTCGATTTGAACTATTTAGACATATTCTTTGAATATTGTACATTGTCATATACCTATCCTGAAAATAAATAGAGGCAGATCAAGAATATTAAATATGTTCGACCTTTAAAGTCTTATTATTGTATTATTGCACTTTTGGAACTATAGGTTCAAAATTTAATATCCGTTGAAATTTTAATAATTTTTACATAAATGTATATATTCAATGTCAAAATGGTGAGGTTCACCCTATAGCAAACATGTTACATATGAGAATCTTAATAGCTCAGTTGATTGACTATCTGAACTTTCACCTTATTGGCGAGGATTCTATTCCCTTTGCCCTGAAGATTGCAATACATGCTCTAAGTTGTATCCTAATTTTAAAGCAAGGCATAGAACATTATTTACAACATTATTAAGAAAAGCACTAGGTACGTTCATTGATTCCTTTTCTCCTTGCTAAGGCATTGCATCTATAAAATTATTTGATCTATCTTGCAACTTTGTTATCTATAACATGACATTTTCAAGCCAAGTTGGCTGGCAAAGTTTATCGTCCACGCCAGATTTTAGGAATCGCGAAAGCATTCCTCTATTGAAAGCTCATAACGCGAAAAACACAAAGGTACATGAGCAAAAATTCAAGATAAGAAGTATCAGGAGCAGACAGAGGTCCTTGATCGCGTATTGTTCAATGGTCAATCCTGATGTTGTCACAAGCTCATTTTCACCATCCAACACAATTAGAAAGTTGTACTCAAGTATAAACAACAAGGACCTAAACCAACTGGCCCTGCTCATATCAGAAGATTGTTTCTTTGATGATTTTTCATTCCCTCAATCATTTCAAGGGAGAAAGGTTTGCACTTTTTTTTTGTTTTTGTTGAGAACATGAATTACACTTCTAATCCACGTGGCAAAGTTAGGAATTTTGCAAAAGGTTTCAATTTATAAATTTTGTATATTTGGGTTAGCCCTTGGGTGATGGGCTAAAAAAAGAAGCCGGAGAAACTACATAATTAGATATACTCTACTATCATATACCTATTATTATATATAGTTTAAAAATACTGTGTATCATACCACTAATTAAGAGTTTGATATTTTTGAGGAACATACACCTAGATATATGTATTTTTGCTACCAAATATACTAAAAATAGGGAGAGAGGCGAGCGAGATAGTTAGGTATTTCAGATACATGTGAATCACATTAGATACACACTTGATACATGTATCTTTATTTATCTAGGTGTCATTCACATGTATCTGGGATACTAGATACAAAGGAGTGTAGCGAGCGAAATGGGAGGGAGGCGAGCGAAACTTCTTATGTATCCAAGATAGATGCGAATCCACTTGGACACAATGTATCTAGAACAAATTACACCTAATTTTGACCCATGTATCCCAAAATACATGTATCTGGACGCACCAAAATCTGATAATTAAGATTCATAATATTGCAAACTAGAGCGTATTTAAGTAATTCGCTCCTAAACTTGTGAGACTTATGTAAGTTTTCCATTATTTATACATATTAAGTGGACTTTTAACATAATTATAGAGTTTTGGCTAAAGCTATTGAGTTCTGTTGGAACAGTAACTAGAACTATAGCTCCGACTTAACCCTGATGTCCAATTGACCACCCTTCGATCTATGTGCTCCACCACTGCTTAATTTGATTCTTCAACTCCCTTTTGCAAATTTATGCAGGAGGCTTTAAAATCTCTGGAGCAACTAACCACAAGCTTGGACCAAAACACAGAGTTCAGCATAGACAATATTCGTGAAGGTGTTGATCTTACAGCAATAGTATACTGGCATTTAGGTAATCACTACTTTTAAGTGAACTAGAATTGCATTTCTTAAAACTTTAAGGACTCATTTCTAAAAGGCATAATACATAATTGTGCCTTCCAACTTTGAATGTGCATAAGCAGACACGTAAATTTGTATAAAATTAAATAAGTAGACATATGTGTCCTACGTAGCTTTATACTAATTGGACGCCACGTAGGATGCATGTGTCTACTTGTTCAACTTTATACAAGTTTACAAAGTTGAAGGGCATAAATGTCAGTTGAGACCAAATTAAAGAGGCACGTTTATGTATTATGCCTGTTATTTAAAAATGTCCCAAATTGAAAGAGAATACTTGTTATTTCAGAGTGGAAGAAGAAAGAAGTACCCTTTAGTAGAGGCTGCAGCTACTATGAATTATCAAGAGATGGAGAAAAACTACTCATTAAGTAAAATATTGATCCTCATTATGCCTCTTATACTTTGTAATATAATAATTACACAAGCATAAATTACTAAGCAACATATATTGTATGCAGGAATGCTCAAGTTATTACAGAATCATCAATGAAACCAAAAATTTTGGTATGTCTACCACCACTTTTACTAATTATATCATTTTGCACACTAGGTTTTGAATAGATTATTTGTAACACGTGTCTTTTCCTGTCCTGACCAAAAACAGGCGTTGTACAATATGGTAACTTCAGTATTCGATGAATTCCCTGAAATCGTCTTGAGTATGTCAATTTCTTCTACTTTTGTTTTTCCATATTTTAAAATTAAATAAATTTAAAAATTTTGAATTATGTTTTTTGGTTCCTTGTAGGATTTGTAAAGAATCATCAAGTTGCATATCAAGTGTTACTAAATAGTTACAAGTTTGTTGTGCAACCATTAATAAGTCCAATTTTTGTATGGTACAAAAAGTTTTGGACATTAACAATCACCTTTCTTGGATTTACAACCAAGTTAGTGCAATTCATTATAAAGTATTCAAGACAGTAAGAAGAGTGTTACAATTGTATGATCATTTGCTTAGGGGGTAATTATACCAATTGTATATGTACAATTTTTTTAAATTTTTTTTTTTTTTGTGAGTAAAATAAAGTATGTGAAGTTTGTTTTTCTTTCTAAATTAAAGAAAGGGTATGTAAAATTAATCAATCTTGTTTCAGATGGATTTCATTGTTTTCGAATTTTCTAATTGAAGGATTATCAGATTTATACGCCGATGTATGATTAAATACAATTTATATGTTGATGATTGATTAAATACTAAATTTAAGGGAAAAAAGCCCTTTAAATATTGCTAAAAAGGTCACAAGATTTTTGCGCAAATAAAGCATGATCCTATTATGAGAAAAAAAAAAAATATATATATATATATGGGAAAATTATGCAGCAAATATTTAGCTTTTATTAGGTATTATAACTACCGTTTAGGAAAATTGTAATTCGCATGTACAGTTTCCCCCAATTATTGTTATTCGCCTAATTTGTTTAATTCGTCTGATTTGTATAAATCCAGAATTTTGTATATGCTTACCCTAGTTATTTATACGATCTATGAAAAAATCATAATAAATTACCCTGTTTGTATATTGGCAAGCGAAATATACAAACAGAGTTCTGAAAAATTACTAAATGTATAAATACAGAATTTGTATATACTTACTCTATTTGTATATTCATAAGCGAAATATACAAATGGGTAGAAATATACAAACCACAACCTCCATAGCACAAAACTATAGCTATGAAAAGCAATTATCAAAACTATAGCTATAAAGCCTTATTATATCTATTAAGTTTGTCATTTCTAAATATCTCTCTATATATATATCGTATATATCCTATGTATTTCATATGCACCAATAATATATACGTGGCATATACGTTACATATGTATGGTATATTCAAGTGACAAAATGGCAAAGCTAATATAAGAGGGTATAGGACGAGAAAAAGAGAAAGAACAACACATAAATGAAAAATATTGGTGGTAATAATTCTATACACCCTAATAGTTAAAATACTACTTTACCTCAATAAAGTAGTGAATCTATGGATGAAGGTTTCATTTATAAACATTATAAAGTAGAAAACTAAAAAAAAAAAAAAAAGTTCAGATAATGGTTTGATAAATTGTGAAGTCAACTACTCAATATATTCATTCCTTAAAGTAGACATTGATGTTAAATGAGCAATTCGTCCTGCTCTTATTACAGAATTAATCACAAGAGAGTCTCTAGTTCGTTACCTTCTGCTATCGACCTTCTCCCTCTGACGTTGTTATCAGATATCGACCTAAGAGATACTGAACCAAGTGCAATAGGAAGAGATTTCTCGATTCCCTCTTCAATAATATTATTAATCCCTTTGTATTGTACCATAAAAATCTCAATCCTCCTTAATGCAATCCTCATAGTGTCATCATCCATATTAGCAAAACAAACCCTAAACCAACCAGGCTCACAACAATGAAAAGAACAACCTGGTGAAACATTAAGTTTAACATCATTAATAATCATTCTCCATAATTCAATTTCACTTTCAAATGTATTTTCCTTAAGTAAACTTCTCAAATCCATCCAACAAAAAAGCCCAGCGTTACTCTCCAACGTGTTAATTCCAATATTTTCAAGTCCCTTAGTAAACACCCCATGCCTTTTCTCCAACCTTTCACGACTCTCGACAACGAATTTCTCGATAAACGTATCATCTAACAACATGTTAGATATTAAATACTGCGTTTGCGTCGATACGAGCCCAAAACTCGACATTTTTCTAGCACATTTTGTTACAACATCATTGTACGAGTAAATAATTCCGACTCTAAATCCGGGAAACCCTAAATCCTTCGATAGACTATACACGATATGTATTAAATCGAGGTTGCATTGAACATTTTCGCTTATTATAACTTCGGAAATACTGATGAATTTGGGCTCGTTGAAGACCGTGGCCGCGTAAATTTCGTCGCATACGAGGTGTATATTTTTATCGTTGATGAACCTTATTGTATCTTTTAATGTTTCCATGTCTAAAATTGTGCCTAATGGATTTGATGGATTGTTTAAAAGTAAGCCTTTTATTGTGATATTGGATTCTTGAGCTTTGTTGTATGCATCTTCTAAGGCTTTTTTTGTGACTTTGAAATTGTTGGAGCTTTCACAAATGATGGGAAAAAGTTGTACACCAGTTCTCCAACTCAAATCTCTATCAAATCTGCAAATTAAATATTTGGAAATACTTTAGTAAGAATTAGAAATATTTGTCGAGAATCTAGTAACAAAACAGTCACTTAGTCCAATAATTTGAAGAAAAACAACATAAATTTGGATAAGAGAATGTTGTGAATGGGGAATTTTAGTAAATAGCTCAATTTGTTAACTATCTGAACTTTCACTTTGTTGGTGATCGATAGTTCAATTCTCCTCGTAATCCCCCCTCCCCCATTTTCCCTTTCCATACCTCTAATTTTTTTCCAAAAAGAATGTTGTCAATATTTTATAAAATTAGAAAAAACAAAAAGTTACCAACCAAATTAGGATGTAGAAAATATTACATTTTACCATACGATAATTTCCAATATTAATTCGTAGTTTCATACTCCCTCGGTCCCTATTTACTTGTTCATTTTTTACTTGACACACCTATTTAGAAAATAATAATTGACATAGTGGGTTTACTATTTTATCCCTATAAATTGATAGAATTCCAAAATCAATTTACTCATTAAGGAGGTTCTACCCTTTTCAAAAACATTAACTCTCTAAATAAATTGAGGGCATAATAGGTAAAAAAATATTGTCTTTTCTTGATTTGTCAAAAATGACAAATAAAAATTCAAAATTGGACAAGTAAAAAGGAACAGAGAGAGTATAATTAAAGTATTCATGGCTTATTCACAATATATATGTTTTTTGTAATGACAAATAAAAGGGGACAAATAAAAATTCAAAATTGGACGAATAAAAAAGAACCGAGGGAGTATAATTAAAGTATTCATGGCTTATTCACAATATATATGTTTTTTGTGATCTTTACTTTATTGTATTTTACTTTTATTGTTGTAAAATTAGGGTTTGAGGCGAATAAATAAAATATAATAGATCTCTATATCATATTAATATATTCATAATTGTTTGACACACACCACCTCAACGATCACTTATAGTTTCTAAGGAGGTTCGATTTTATGTCCCCTATTTCTTTTTTTGAATCTTAATATATAAGGTACGGATCAATATCAAATCGCGATTTTAACTATAAGAAAAAGAAAAAAAAATAGTTACCCAGGATAATAGGGAGTAGGAACAAGAAAAGCCTCTCCAGGATCAGCCAAGCAAAAGGCAAGTAATTCATGAGCTCCAGTTGCCCCTCCACTCATTACTATACGTTCTTCATCAAATTTAATTTTGTCTCCTCTCACTTTTTCCATGAACCTTGCAACTGCCTGCACATATATATATATACTTCTTTCGTTAATGGTTATATTTTATGTGTCTTAGTTTCACAGAATACGAAAGTTTAAGAAAGTAAGGAAAAGACTTTTCGACTATAAAGGTACTCAAATGACATTTGAATGTTGTGGTGATCTGGTGCACAAAGTAATCTGTGTTAGTAGGGTTCGAGAGAGGGTTTCACCCAACTTACTCTAATGCAAATATTAGTGGTTAATTACTTTCAGTATAGCTTGAATTTTTTAACATATAGATCACACAGATACAACTTTAGTGTTGCTTGCCATGACGCACTCCTCTCTCTCTCTCTCTCTCTCTCTCTCTCTCTCTCTATATATATATATATATATATATAACAACCTAAAAAGGAAAATGAGACAAATTAAAATGAAGGGAGTAATAGTTTCGGTGTTTTTAGGTTTAAGTTCTTACCCTTCGAAATTCTGGCAAACCATGATAGTCTTGATAAATTGCAATTTCCTTGAATTCTTCACAGCCTCCAGCAGTGCAAATGGAGGATTTTTGATTGTTCACCACCCATTCTTGAATTAAATCAAAGCAAAGCTACAAGAACATAAAAAATAAAAAATAAAAACATTAATTGCAATATTTAACTAGCTAGCACAACGTTTTTTTTTTCTCAGATGTTATTCAAGTAATACTAATAATTATTCTGATAATTAAGTCACTTTTTTTATTGAAAAATGTTGAAATAAAAATGAAATTTAACTTTCTGAGATACCTATTAGTTTATCAGTGATAGAAATCAACCCTAACTTTGATACAAACCAAAAGTTTCTTTGGAGCTTGTGGTGGTTTTAATAAGTACTCCATTTGTCCCAATTTATACGACTCATTTTCATTTTTAGTACTTCATCCCAAAAAGAATGACAGCAATTTAATTGTAAAATACTCATTTTACCCTTAATGAAATGATTTGTAGTCACTCAAACATATATCACTTATTTCAGACTATAAGTTTCAAAACTCTTTCTTTCTTTCTTAAACTCCGTATCAAGTCAAACTAACTCATATAAAATAGAACGGATGGAGTATAGAACAAAGGGAGTGTAGATGGAGAAAATGAACACTAATTAAAAATATTTTCATGTTGTTACCTGATTTTCTGCAAGACCCATTTGAATAACCCCATTAGGATTTTGTGTTGGATGGAAAGGATCAATTTCATAAGCTTTCCATCCATCAAAATAAGCTGAGTTTTCTCCATGTCCATTATTGGTTGCTACCTTAGAAAGAAGCTCATTATTGATGTTTGAAATGAACCCCATTTACTAATTAAATCTCTTAAAGTTGATCTAATATGTATAATCCCTTAGTAAATAGTTTTTGAATTGTGGAATATTGAATATGTTATAAGTTTTAGTGATGTTCTATTTATAGTTGTTCAAAATCACTAAAATAAAGAAATTTCCATGAAGTAAAGTACCAAACTATTTTTTTGAGATATTGTGGGCGGCTAATTACTAATATTATGTGTTAATACCGCACTACTTATGGACTGGATTATGGCCCCATATCTTTCCCTAATCTTCATTAGTTTAATTTAATCCATACCAAATACAACTACAATTCACTAGTGTATCTATCATATT